GGTGTCAGGGGAAGGAGTGACAGCACCGAACCCAGGCCAACGCTTGGGCACACACTGGTAAATCCGCACACTGCTGGACACTCAGCTCGGCACTAAAACCACGTGGATTTCCTTTTAAACATTAATTCATTTGGAACTCGAGCAGCACAATACTAAACTACCAACAACTAAACTGAACACACTGGTTTCCACCAGTCTCACGTGTAAAAAACGCCACGACATGGTAAATTTTAAACTTAAATAGTTTCCAGTACTTACGGTACTCTTTGAAATCTAGCTACTGAAATGTATGATAGGCCCTTTTCAAGCTTTCATGTAACAAGCAATATCAACATCCAAAAACATGAAAAAGTAAAATATTACTTACAGCAGTCTTAAAATTTGAGCCATTAACAAGGAAAAAGCGTACTTGTTCAGGAAGGTACAAAAACCCCAAAACAACAAAATCACAAATTACTACATGAGCAAATAAGTGGTGCAAAATTACAGATTGTGTTTTTCAGAGACATAAGCTTCAAGGATGCTGAAGAAATCACTTTTCACTGCTCGTATGCATGTGAGCAACACTTCAGTAGCTGAGCATTAAAATGGTGTATGTCGATCAATTATGGATCCCAAAGGCCCAAAATAAAAGTCTGGCAGAACCTAAAGGTTTGGGAAGGTTTTCTTTGCCCTTGTTTTGGTTTTCTTTTTTAATATAAAAACAACAACCACTATTGATCCAAACTCCAGGGTAAGAAACAAAAACAAATACTTCGAAATTTAGGCACAAAAACTGTGAAACAACATTAACCCCAAAGTCAGAAGAACAAACATCTAAAGTTGTATATTTTTTTACTTCCATCACCACAAAGCAAGATGAACAACAGCTGAGTCACAAACCTCTCCCTGCCTTTTTTTACCTGCTAAAATAAACCCAGGAAACACTATCTTCTCTGGTGTGTTACTATATTTTACTGAACTTTTTTTTATAAGCCCAAGAATTGTTTTTCCACCAATTAATGTAAGCAAAGGAGGTAATCTTTCTTTCAGGAATGGGATCATGCTGGAAGGCTGTAAGCTGATGCCACAGGAAGAAGAGATCAAGGAGTGTTTACCCCCCACAGCATCACCTTGTTACTTGAGATGAACTCACCTGGTGTTTATTCCAGGCAGTACCAACAACATCAAACATCTAGTCCAGTTATGCAGCCCTGAGAAATGCTGCAAGCAACTTGTAATATTATCATATTAAAGTTATTAGAAAAATCTCAAAAAAGAAGTTAATTTTTTTTCTAGTTAATAAAACTGTACCCACTTCCATTGTAATGAAGGAAACTACATCCATTTCCCAGCTCACCATTCAAGTTTGTTTTTAAGCCATACAAAATTGGAAAGTCATCAATCTAATTCCAAAAGTATTCCCCTTAACCCTCATCCCAAAAAAGTCCCCATCTATTCTGTTTTTACTGCCCTTCATCACTTGTATTTCTGTCTCACAGGAACATCTCAATGGCTACAGTTCCTGAAAAACCTCCTGAAAAAAATTCATATTCTGCATACAAATACAAGCTGAAACTCTTCCAAACACTTAGGCTGAGGGAGTTTCTTCTAGGTACCACCTTTCCAATGTCTTTAACTTACAAAGTAGTTACAGATGCGTTGTTCTGTTGCCTGCCAAAGCTGGGAACAGCAGATTTGCTTTTCCCAACATCCAAGTGGGCCTGGAACTCCACAAATAAGAAAAGCCACATCAGCAAATTGGAGAAAGTAACACAGAAACAGCTGGTGAGATGCATAAGCTGGGCACTTGACTCATCTTCCAACTGCCTTTTTTCCCTTCCAGCCACAAAAAGCTTGATTTCTGCTTTGCCCATGTCATCAATCTCAAATAGCATTCCAAGAAAACATTTTATTCCATTCTGCCTTGAAGGATCCAGACTGCAATGACTCTCTATGACCACAAACACCCACAAGACCCAGATCCCAAAACTACAAATGGGCTTCAAGATGCCACGTTCCAGCTGCATCTTGGATCACTAAATTGTCATGATCCATAAATTTATGGAAAATGCTCTCATAATCCTGACACCTCATCTTTTTTAAACTGGCACTTTATCAAACCAAAACAAGTTGAGTTACAATACTCCAGGCCTCCAGAGAACTGAATCTGGCTGTTAACAGCAGGTTTTTTACCTTTCTAACATCACTTAAGGATAAAAGATGTGCACAGCAATGCATTTCAAGCTCTAAGCCACTCTCTTAAAGAAATAGGATGCTTTGTGTACAGAAAACATACCTACAGACTAAAAAAAGCTTTATATACCCTTTGCCTCATTTATCCTGTAGTTCTCAGGATGTGAACTGTGAGATGCTCAGACTTTATCAGCTTAACTACAAGCAATCTAAACAGAATGATTTCCAGGTGACAGCAAGCTCCAGCACTATGTCTGAAGCACAGCCAAGTGTTTTGATAGGTTGTTATTCTGAAAATAACAATGTTTCTTTTGGGGAGTCCAAACTCACCGCACCATCACTAAGCAACTATTTCTACAACTGCTGTTCCACTTAGGGCACAAAACCAGGGGCACAGGAGGCAAACCAGGACCTTGAGAAGGGCCAAATGGGTATAAAGACAAGCAAAACTGTGTTAGCAGTGCAAAGTGGAGTGGGGTGGGAAGGCTCAGTCAGCACAGCAGCCAAACACATCCTCTAGGAGATCTGGATAGAAAAGTACAAACATATGTTACATGTATAGTTACACAGTGTCAATCCCAGGAGGAAAAATGAGCTCATGTGGAGCACATACAACTTCATTTGTTGTCAATCCATGAATGTCACACAGCTACAGGCTTTTCACACCATCACACCCCTTAGGATCTTGTGTTTATGTAGTTAAATCAGCAGAAAACCCCATTACTAAAAAGCATGTTTAAACAAAACACTGATTACCTTGAGCACATGACTGCTGTTCACACCAGGCCAAATTTACACAAAACAAGCAAAAAGAAAAGAAACCCTGGGGACAAACTGTTAATATATTAACTTACTCTCATCAGGATTATTCAAACTAAGCAATGTTGAAAAGGAAGTTTAAGAGAAAAGGAGCAGAGCCCTTTACATACTCAGAACATTGACTGCTTTTCTGGAGAGCTCATCAACTCAAAGTAGGGGAGAGAGTTTGGCAATCTCCCTACACACAAAAATCTGCATAAATCAACACGAGATATATAACACATAAAACACTTGTGATACAAATCTTTCAAAGGAAAATAATTCTTCTGCTCTTGTCCTCTTCTGTTTCCTAATTCATACTTTGCCCTGGAACTGGCATTAGTACATGAAGCTATCTGGACTTCCTCAACACAATGAATCCAACATACAGTAAGCACAGAGAGAGGAAATTAAGATAAAACCCCCAGGGTCAAGCAAAAGTAAAAAAGTCTTTCCAAACAGCCAACATAATCAAATATGGTTGTCATTCCTCACAGCTGTAGAAAATGCCAGACGTCCAAAACATTTGCTTCTCCTTTTACTGGCTCTGCAATTCTTGAGAGATTATAACACAGAAGAAAATATGAAAGGATGAACAGCCCCAAAAAGCAACTCATGGACTTAAGTGAGCAGAATGCCCCCTGATATTACTGTAAGCACATATAACAGTAAATTATACTTCAAACAGGGTGTTTCACTGAACAACGAAACAAGAACAAAGTGACACCATGGCATCACACTTTTGTAGAAGGCAGAAGACAACTGTAGAGGTGAGATAAGTCAAAAAGTTGATAAAATGAAGCAGTTCTGCGTAAAATAACCTCTGGGCTGTGTCTTGGGCAGCAGCAAGTGGCGTGGCTGGAGTACACCAAAGGCAACTAACGCTCCATCCACACCTGCTGATGAAAGCAACCGGGAGCAGCAACCTGTTGGTGCTTGTCACTTCGCAAGGCACCCCTAAGGGGCTTGCGAGGAGCACAGGAACCCCGGGCACGCATTGACAAAACGCTGCTTTTCAAAGGACAAAACCCTAAAAATCTCAGAACACCCTGGTCTAATCCGGTCAGCGAGACGAGAACTGTTCCCGAGGCCCATGTCGCCTCTCGACCACGCAGGCGAGGCCACCGGGAGCGTCCTGCCCGCAGCACCGGCAGCACCACGCGTGTCCCCGCAGCCGCCCCCGGCTCTCCCCGCCCGCTCCCGCCCCGGGACCCGCCTCGCCTTCCCTCCGTGCTCCCCGGGAGCCTCCCTGCCCGCCCGGCCCCGCTCCCCCGGGCCGCGCCCCGCACCCGCTCCTCGGCCCGGCAGCGCGAGGGCCCGGCCCGGCTCCCTCCCCGCTGACCCGGCGCTGCCCCCGCGCCGCGGCGCTCACCTGGCAGAAGCGGCGGCAGTAGTACTGGCTGCGGAGCAGAGCGGGCAGCCCGGCCAGGAGCCCCGGCGCCGCCAGCGCCTCCAGCTCCTCGCTGAGCCGCTCCGACTCCTGGTCGCTCTCGTCTTCCGCCATGGCGGCCCCGCCGCCCCGCGCGTACCGAGCGCCCCCGCCCCGCCCCGCCGCGCCGGAAGAGCCGCCCCCGCCGCGCCGCCAGGCGTCCGGCCACGCCCCCGCCGTGCCGCACTCCCATTGGTCTTCCTTACCTGCCAATCAACGCGCAGCTTACCTCTGGGTCCGCCCCTTTTTCAGAAGCGCACTGCGATTGGTGGAAAAGTCTCGTCGTTACTTCAGTTCCGCCTTTCCACTGGCTGCACCCCCCGTCTGCTACGCCCCCCCTCCGCAGCCGCCCGCCCGATGCCCGTCCGCCTAGCTTAGCCGCCCGCGCTCTGATTGGCCGGCGCACGCCTCTATCAGCACTCTCATGTCAGTTTCCCATTCGTAATTGGGCCCAAACCTTGCCCATCTCCGCGGCGAACCAATCAGCGAGTGACTTCCGGCGGCGGGGGCGGCCCGGCGGGGTGGGCGGGGCCGTGCGGCTGCGGCGGAGCGGCGCGTCCGGCCCGGCCCGGCAGGGGCCCAGCGCGGAGCGGCGGCGGCGGAGCAGCCCCGGGACGGCCCCGGGCGGGCGGCGCGGCCTCTGCGGGTAATGGTGCCCGGCACGGGGCCGGCGGGTCCGCGCGTGGGGAGGAGGCTGCGGGGCCGCCCGGGAAACACCCGCGTTGCGGGGAAGGGCCGCCGCCGCGGGGCCTGGGCTATGCCGGGCCGGGCTCCGCGCGTTTTACACGGCGCCGGCAGCCCGGGGGACGTTCCGGGACGAGGAACGCACCGAGTGATGGTCCCGGTCCCCGGGCGGAACCCGCCCGGCGCCTGGAGAGCCATACTCGCTGTGCTCCTCTCCCCGCGGCTCCGGTGCGGTGACAGCGGACACAGCCCGGACCCCGGAGCCGCCGCCTCGCCCGGAGCGCGGATCCGTGGGCACCCCGAGGGGGAGGCAGCAGCACCCTGCAAGCAAACACGCCAAAACTTGATATCCCCACAAAAAATAGGCCTTCCAAAAATCCTGTGTTCTGCTGCTCTCAGAACCCCGAGACATTTTGCTGCAGTAGCACTACAAACACCTGGTTTGGTGGGGGAAGTTTTTTTGGCGTTTCAGAAGCCAAAGCAACAAGTTTGTGTTGGGTTAGGATTTGCTTTCTGCTTGATTTCAGCAAATGGTTGCTTATGAAGCTCATATACAAAGCAACAAAAAAAAGAAGGTTACATTGATGCTGGATAAAGTTTGTTTATCATTGTATCAGACTAAGATTTACGGGTCTGCAAAGCCACAGTGAGAGCAAACAAACTTCACGAGGAAAGTAGCTAATACCAAGATCTTTGTTTCCTTTTTTTGCAGAAGCTTGTAATCTCTTCTTGTAGCAATGGCTTAAGAAAAAAAAGGCAGTGTTGAAGACAGAATTCTCTATTCCTTTAGTTCCAGGGTGGGCAAAACCCATTCTGGACAGCAGAAACTCTACACAACCTTTTTTTTTTTTTTTTAATATTGCTACAGCAAACTGGGTAACAAAAGAAAACAAGTACAGAGAAGTACATTTGGAGGTACCAGAAGAGTTGAAAGAAACATTGTTGCCTTTTAGGGGTTATTTTAAGGAAACCGGTAGCTAATGTGGTGACCATTAATTTTGCTCAGAAAACCTCAAAGCTGAACAAAGCTGTTACTTGACTTCAACTTTACTTGGAAAACTCCATACCTCAACAACAAAAGGACACAGGTCATTTTAATTTCAGAGCACTTTACTGGGTTATTGCCGGCTTTGGTGACAGGGTCTAGTTTAGAGAGATGCTAAACCTCTTGGTTTAGCATCACTGTAAACTCTTTAAACAATTTCTTATTTTGCATTGCAATAGATGTAATTCTGTGTTCCCATTAGGCTGTTCCAGCAGTGACAAAATTACTTGCTCTAAGGTCCAGCTTTAATCTAATAGCTGTGGTTTAAAAACCAGGGCTGCTTCCAAACAAGCTCTGGTTTGGTTTTGGGGTTGTTTTTTGTTGGGGGTTACTGGCTTTTAAAAAGTGACACTAATGTTTTTCTTGCTTGATATGGACAAAATACACAGGAAAACACTGATTCAACAAATTAAAGAGACTGTCAAATATGTTGAAAATGCTAAGAAGAAAATATCGTTGTGCCTAAAGTTTAAAGGATAAAAAAGGCTCTTCAAGAAAAGCAAAAAGTGCTTTTGTTTGACTTTAAGTGATTAACAAATGGGGTTTTGAAGGTTCTGTTGAGTCACCACCATATTAGTGGTATGAGGATAACTTCAAACAATTATTAAAAACCACTTTCTATAATTACAATCTAATACCTTATAACACCTATATACACCTATATATCCACCACAATCTTAACAGATTCACAATACATACCATAAAAAATCAAATAGAAAAAAAACTCTCACCACATTAATAAAAATCTTATGCTAAAAGTCCAAAGACTCTTACAGTAACCTGTTGTTTTCTTATCACAGGAGTTCCATACTGTTGTCTCCTTATCACAAAAGTATCATACCTGCTTGGTGTTTCTCCTGGGCAGCTCTCAGAGCACTGAGCCTTTCTTCTCCACACAGCAGCCATGAGACTGCAGCCCAGTTCTCAATGGCCCACCCCACTCTTTTATAGCACTCTTCTTCTCATTGGTTACAGCTGTGGCCTGTTAAAGTCAGGCCTGGTCCTAATCTTTGATAATTGGCCCAGCTGCAACTCCTTAGGGGTAAGATTACTTTCTGCACTATCTTTATTTTCTTATATTCTATCCTCCTACAGTAACCCAAATAACAAAAACCACTCCTCATTATAAATCTAAAAACCAAACCAAAAAAGAGTAGAAGCGAAGGAACCTCATTCTCCCATTTAACTGGACTTGCAGATTAAAATCCTTTCACTAGCAGTGTCACAAACGTGTCTAACATGCAGCTAATGACAATTCAGGTGTCAGCAGGCTGCACACTGAGTGAACTCTTGTTTGCTCCCCAGCTCTGCCATGGAGCGGTTCGGGGTGAAGTCGGCGCCGTCGCGGAACCGCTCCAAGACCGCGCTGTACGTGACGCCCCAGGACCGCGTGACCGAGTTCGGCAGCGAGCTGCATGAGGACGGGGGGAAGCTCTTCTGCACCTCCTGCAACGTGGTGCTCAACCACGTCCGCAAGTCCGCCATCAACGACCACCTCAAGTCCAAAACGCACACCAAGAGGAAGGCGGAGTTCGAGGAGCAGAACGTCAGGAAGAAGCAAAGGACTCTGACTGCCTCCCTGCAGTGCAACAGCGCTGCCCAGACAGAGAAAAGCAGCGTGATCCAGGACTTTGTGAAAATGTGCCTGGAGGCCAACATCCCCCTGGAGAAGGCCGACCACCCCTCCGTGCGGGCCTTCCTGTCCCGCTACGTTAAGAACGGCAGCTCCATACCCAAGTCGGAGCAGCTAAGGAAAGCCTATCTGCCTGATGGCTATGACAATGAGAACCAGCTCATCAACACTGAAGACCGTTGAGAAGAGAACAGTTTTCATCCTTGTTGTGAAGTTTTACATATTGATGGTGTGGTTTATTTTTATATTCATGCATATATACAGTGTTACATATTGATTTTACAAGCTATTTTGTATTCTTGTAGAAATGACAATCTACTCCTGACCTTAGCGGTGTACCACAGATTGTTGCTAACCCTGCTGTGGACTTCGGAGCTGCGCCGATGTAGAGCTCATGAGGAATGTAGGGAGCATCCCTGGCATACACCTGATCTCTGTTCAGTCCAGCTGTAACTGAGGCTGAGAAAAAGGCACTTGAATGGAGGACCCCAGCTCACAGTGCATCCAAGAAGACGGTGTGGTAGGGATTGCTGCTCGTGGCAGTGGATTGCTGTGTCCAGTATCCTGTCCCTGAGTGACCAAGAAGAGGGGTTGCACCTTTGGAATGCAAGAAGCTCTAGGATGGTTAGTTAAAGTATCACTGCTCTGTTGGGGGAGGACTATTGCAACTTTCTATTCAAGCTTGGTTTACGTTTTGAAACAGGAAACATTTTTCTTCTAGAACTCTCTCTTATGCTGTTTGGTGCAACTGTGGATGTATTCATTATCCAGCTTAACCAGCCAGTCTCTTGTACTGACCTCTGAACTCCACTATTCTCATAAGGCTGGGAGTTCTGCAGGTTTGCCATGTCTGCTTTTCTAACATCACCGTTCCTTTGTCTTGGTTTCACATGCCCCCTTCCACTTCAGTGCCAATATTTGAAAGCTGAGTAGACAAACCAGTAACTGAGTGTGGTTTGCAGTGCAGCTGCTGTCAAGTGAAACTTATGCTGGACCAAGTTCTTAGCAGAGATTACTGCCTTTTTCCTACTAGCAGGACTAAGCTAAATCTAAATTGGGGATGGTAGAGGACTAAACTGAGGAGTTGGGAAGTTTTTTCATTGTGCACAGAAGAGGCTGCTCCATCTTTCCCTGAAGGTCCTTTACACATCTTCCTTTACACATCTGGCCTCATCATCAGCCTTTCAGTCAAGGGAGGTGAAGTGATTAAAACAAAACAGTTACTGCAAAGGTCCTTCAGTACTTGTAAACACAAGTAGGAAGGCAGATACACTTTGAACTTATAAGGGAATTACAGACCTGTATTTCTTACTCTGTGCCACAGCCACATCTATTGCACTGGCAGAAGGCAAAATGGGAAATTGAAGAATTTAAATCATGTTACTCTCTCCAAAATCTAGTTAATAGTTGCTAAGCTATTCCAAATGATGATGCCAAATAGTTCACTAACGCAAGTGTTCCATAAAGGTTTGGAATGAAATGAGGGAGTACTGTGCAAAGTGCTGGAATACAACTGACCTCTGCCTGCTCTAGATCTGGAGATGCTCTGGGTTCAGACAGGTGCCTGCATCTCCTGGGGGCACAGGAATCCTCCCTCTCCCTGGGTACAATGGCATAAGGATGCTTTAGCTCCTGAGGGTGGAGCCTGTTGTCCAGCTGCCTTCCCCAGCAGAGTTTCACAGCAGCTTATTTACAGTGATACCAAGAATTGATGAAAAGAGACAAAATAACCAGATTATTTTGGGTTTAGAGCTATTTCCCACCTGTATCCAGAGCAGTCTCCTTTGCTGGGCTGAGACTTAGATACTTGGTAACAACTGGTTTTTTGTGCAATTAGTCTGCAGAAATGCACTTGTGTTTCATGTCCTGCTGTGAAACCTGCTGGAATAAATGGACAAAGCTAAAAAGCAGAAGGTTTCCTACCCATGTGCATCAGTCCAGGGGTGCTCAGCCCACTGCTGGTCTAGGACTTCAGGCAGAAATAACAGTAGCAACTTTTTAATCTAATCTTAGAGATCAAGATATGCCTTCCTAAATATAATTTTTTATTGCACAAGCTTGGGTTTACCTTAAAATCCTTAACTGCCTTGGGCTAGAACTGTTTAATAAATCTTCTGAAGCCAAGTGAAAGGTAAACTGCCAATAGCCTTTTCTGTCCTGACAAGAACTGAAAGTATTTTCTCACTGTTTCCTCACAGTGAAACAACAACCTTGCTTTAACTTTCAATCTTTATTGAAACCTCAGCAATGCTATCTTAGAATTGAAGCAAATGGAGAATAATGGAATATTGAGAAAAAAAAAGCAGCTAGAGAAATGGGATGGGCAAAAGGAGTTTGGGCCAGTTCACTCAGTTTTGCTAACATGGGATTTTCCAGGCCACACCCCATAACAATTTCATATAGGATTAGATGCTGTGTGTTCTTCCCTTGACTGACAGACTGACAGACATTTTGAATGCTTCATGGGAACATTAAATAGGTTCCTGCATAACTGGAAAAAAAAAGAAGAAAAAAAAATCAAGTTGCTTTCAAAATAACAGTTTTACATAAAAATGAAGCAATTGGCAAGTGTAATGGACTCAATTTGCAGGACACTGCTGTCCTAATAATAGGATATTTTCATTTAAAAATAAAGCCACAATAAGTTTTCAAGCTTTTTTGAAAATCAAGATGTTGATCCATTGAAACAAACAATAATAATGGAGTAAAGCTATGAAAAATAAAGCACTTCCAGGTAATCTAGAAAGAATGAATAAGTTTAAAATCATGAACATAACCCACATCATCAAGGCATTTTTTAGAGAAAATATGAGTAGGTGATTGCATTCTGTCATGAAACAGAGTCCTGCAAACACTCTAATTCAGAACATGAGTTTGCCAGTATGGCTGCAGATGGATAAAACATAAGTTTATTTTAACTGTTGTTCATCTTAGGGAAGATTTACAGCAGAAGTTTTCTCATCTATCTAAACCTAAGGAATAACGAAATCCTAGTTTTGAGGCTGTAATGGAGTTGTTTGAACAGTCTCCATGGGGGATTAATTTCTTGTGCAAGAATGTATTTCCTGTAAAGAAGAAAACTTTAGAAGTAAAGGGAGCATGGTAACAGTGTCAGCTTTTCACTTTATATCCAAATGTGCAGACAAGCTCTAAGGGATACTTTCTGCCCTGTGGTTTTAGGAATATATTTGAACTCTAAATGTAACTGAAAAAAAATTAAAATAAATATTTTCTTCTCTAACCAATACTTAAAGACTAATTTAGCCAAGTTAGCTGAAATTACTCCCAAGTACTTTTCTTGAAACAAAAGTTGCAAAGAGTAAAACAGAAACAGTGGCATTCTCTGTTGTGTGGCTCCTTACATGGACACACCATGATAGTTTCACCTTGCATGTTCTTGAAAAAACAGGAGCAAGCTTCAGAATTTTTAATAATTTTGAAGCCTGTAATTTGGCTGGTCCCATGGGAAGGTGAAGCATTCAGCATAATAAATGGGAATCATTTTTCAGTGGAGAGAGAAACTTGTTCTGCACAGTATGGGATATTCTCATGATAGACAGGCTGGTTTAGCCAGAGCCCCTTTTAGCAATTCTGTTGAACTGAAGAGTGAGGTGCTCCCTGTTAGCTTTTGCAGCATAATGAGCTGATTTTCAGGAAAAAAGAAAAAAAAAAGCTGGAAGTTTGGCAAGGATAATCTCTATTTATATTTACATACAAAAAGAGGCAAGGCTTACTGTTGTTGCATTCACATTGTACTCACTGCTACTTACTCTGTGTAATTTGAGTGCTTGTTGTCTTTGTACAATTTTAAAGTCGTGTCTAACTTTCAAAATATTTTTATTTTAACAAAGTTTCTCACTGTAATAGTGCTGTTAGAGTTTAGTCTCTTTTGGTCTGATGAAGATGCTTTATTTTTGTTTTGGTGGTAGGGATGTTTTGTTGATGGTGAGTGGCCACAGAAATGGTTTTATTTAAAAAAATAAGTCATGAACTTATGATTAGATACAAGAGTGAGGCTGAAGAAACCCAGGTCCTGCAGTGCCACAAGACTTCCTGTAGGAACAGTAAGACCAGAGTAAGTGATTTAAGTTTTTATATTAAAACAATACTGAAGAGAAGTACTTTACATTGTAAAGTTTTCACTTGGTAATGAAAAAACGGTCTCTTTAAAAAAAAATAAAGGCATTCCTTTTTTTATGGAACTTATGCATAATCTCTTATTTTACCAATCAAGTGGATTAAGAACTTGTGGTAGTTCCCATAGAGTGGTGTAATATAAGACACAAAAATGGATGGGGACAGGAAAATTTAAGGAGCTGCTGCTGTAGCCTAAGGTAACATCAGATATTGAAGCATTTGGTTGATTTACCTGTGCAATGACACTGAGTGTTTCAGGACTGGTTATACAAAACCTCTGCTTCCTGTCACTCCTGATTTTCTTCATGGTGACAGAAATTCCCTAATGATGCCTTCTGCTCCAAGTGAATATACCAGGTGGAATGATTTTTGTACATTTTGACACTGCAGTAAACCATTTGTAGTACAGGATCTTGCAGCTACCCAAGGCCTCAGATCTTTGCAGGAAGGGCTTCTGCAATGTGGAAGAATCCAAAAAGGTCACAGTTTTATTTCTCTCCCTTGGGGACTTCATGAAAATTGAGCAAATAACATCAACCCATCAAAAATTATCATCAAGTGTGGGTTTGATTGTTTACACATTTCTTTTCCTGAATTCTGACCTGTCTTGACATCTGAGGATGGATCAATGATAAATTCAGGCAACCTCTTGACTGATGAATTTATGAACCATCATTTTCTCATTTTCAGTCATTTCCAGGTCACAGCACATTAAGATCAAGTGCTTTTTGTTGTGAAATGGAAAAGCAGAATAGAAATAAACATACCCTTTGTAAAATTTTCTTGTGTGGACAATTTGTGTATGAAACAGCACATGCACACTTGCAAAATCAATGTATCAGTCAGGGTTTCTGTAGAAGCTGATGCAGAACCAGGTGAAGCAAATATTTAAAGTTCAGTAATTAGGCCATGCTAAATTCTGATGGTGACATTTTACCTTTTTAACTGAATCAAGGCATTCAGTCCATATCCAGGATGCAGCAGGATCAAGTACACACAGCTTTCAGGCCACAGTGATATTGATAATTAGGTCTGATATTTTTTAGTTGCATAGGCTGAAGAAGATTCTCTTACAGTTCTGCTTTTTTTTTTTTTTCCTCATCCCACCACTTTTTTTACAAGGGGTTTGGAATTTGTGCCTTGTGCAGCCACCAAGCACATCTCAGGTGGAAGCACAAAGTGCAGGACCAGAGTTGGACTACAGAGCTGCTGCAGCTCAGGTGAAAGTACTGTTCAGTACTTCTGTTCAGAGCAGACAGAAAAGTATTTAGGGACTTGAGAGGTTTTTAGGAGGGGTTTGTATATTGGTTTGCCTCAAGTGTTTTTTTAATCTGTCCTCCAGTGTACAAAATAGCTCCAATTCAGCATTGAATTTCACTGCAGTAACTGACATTTTCTCACCTCAATTCTTCTATAATTAGCTTGAAATTGCTTCCTCCCTCCCCTTATTTCTGAAGCCTATCATTACTCCAAGACAAATCCAACAGCTACAATACCCATGGCTGCACTTAGGGAAGTGTTTTACAGACAAAAGTCCCCCAGGTGGAGCTTTAACCAGCTCTGGGCAGAATGAACTGAGCCCACTCCTGAGAGCACCCAAGCTGGGCCTACAATCCAGAACCTGGCTCAAGATGTGTGCTTTGGTTTAACAAGGCTCAGCTCACCTCCTGAAACTGAAACTGCTGAGGCAAAAGCGGGGAGATGCAAAGAATCTCATGTTGTGAAGGGCTTGCATCAAAAGGAAGGAGCTGACCCCTCCTCTAACAGGGAATTACAGGAATAAAACTGCAGGGGCTGCCTTGGCTGGTGCAGCAGCAAATCCTGAGCTCTGAGACCACCAGTGACAGGCAAGGAGCTGATGGGACACTGGAACATGATTGCTCCTTTAAGGCACTAAAAGCTCCTTCACGCAGTGTTAAAGGGTAATTTGCAGCAGACTTCCTGCAGCCCACTCTCAGAACGCTGTGTCTCACCCTGTGGTTTCCTGCAAACAGGAAAAACGCAGCCCCAAAATAGAACTTTGGTCTTTTTCTTCTTGTCAGAAGAAAAACTGAGGTGGGACAGAAAGAACATTGCATAGATTATGGCTGGGTTTTTCTTTTCACTTGCCTTCAGCCAAGTAGCAACAGCCCTGACAAAGGGGACTGAATCAGGTAAAGTTTCTATTTATAGCAATCCTCGGGTCTGAAATTCACCCCATGTCTTTGGAGCCTTTTCCTCCAAAATAATATCTAATACAGAGAACTGTTCTAGTTGTGTTTAAATGGAAGAGGTTCTTTGAATTCAATTGCACTGAGAGTTTTTAAATACCTGATATCTCTTAGGATTCAACAAAGACGTTACAGAGTTATTACACACAATGGTGACATCTTTTTCTGCCATTTCCCTTTCCTAATTATAGTTTAGGATTAGGATTCTCATTCCTTACCTTGCAAATACTTATTTTATATTTATTTAGCATTTACTATACCTTGAAACATGCTTTTAAAGCAAAACTATACTCTTGCAGTATCTCAAATCCATGGACTGAGTTAAAAAACAAAATTTAAAAATCTAAATTACCATTTGGAGATTGAAAATATCTCTTTGTATCTTAAAAATATCATAAAAATAGAATGGCTCAAGGGGGTAATTAAGTCTCCACAAGAGAAAAACTTCCCTGAATAACCAATTTTTCTGTCAGAGCTGGCTGTGGATGCAGCCACCAGGTGTCTTCAGTGCACAAAAATGCAATTTGTGGTAGAAGTGGTTTGGCTCAAGAGGAGCCCTGCTGTGTGTGCAGTTACACTCAAGGTGTTCTCTTCCATAAATATTTCCCATTTAGGCTGGATTGGAGCTTTTGTCAGGCTTTTTCACCTCCTCATCCTACATCAGTAGGGTTCTCCTGATCACTCCATCTGCACACAAAATTTTTGACAGAAAAAAGAAATCCAAACATAGCATTTCAGAAAGTTGTTCCATTATTTTTTCCAAAATATTATTCTGGAAAAAACACTTGATAATTTAGACTTTGGTAAGCATTTCCATCATAAGCAGAGGTGACAATTGCTATATACAAAATTCCTGTTTGCTTTCAATTTGGTTCTAACTTTATGAAGAAACTTTGCATAGGTAAAAGTTTTTGGGAAGGTTCAGCTAAGTGCTTCAATGTCTGAAAAATTCTTAGGGAAAAAAATCTTAAAGACATGCTAAGAAAGAAACACACAAAATCCAAATTACTTGTCCTTATGAAGATCCTGAGAACAAACAGCAGAAACAGTCATCCCTTACAGTGCAGATTATTGTGTGAATAGTGAATTTTTTCAACTTCTTAATGGATTGATGTTGAATTTAAGTCATGCAGAAGCACTGAAGAAGTTTAAAATCCAGCTTTGTATCCTTCCTCTCTGCTATCTTGCTTCTTGTAAAATCAAAACCTCACATGCAGGAGGATGTTTAAAAAAACAAAAAAAAAAACCCTGCAGCTTTGTTCATTACTCTGTGAGGGGAGACAGGGGCCGGAGAAGGGGAGATGTTTTCTGGACCCTCAGGATCACCTTCTCTTTCCAATGCCCAGACAATAAAGGTTTCTCCAGTCATGTTGATAAAAAGGATAATCCTGTAGATTCCTCAGGTAATGCTGGCTCAGAGCAATTATTAAATTTACATTAAGATGTGGCCTCATAATTAAACCTGTCTGTAGCTATTAAACAGTACAGGTGGAGAATAGAAGCCAAAGCAGTGCTCAATGCACCCTGCAGACAATGGGTCTTATTTCACTACCATAGCAGAGCCTCCTAATTTAACTGAAGAGGATGATAATGATAATAAGTGAGAAATATTCAGTAACTGGCCAGATAACAACTCCACCACCTGAGGACAAAGTACTTTTGAACCATGGTCAAAGGTTTTGGTAGCATTCAAACCTGAGCTTGAAATCTGGAAATCCTACAAGCTCTAGGTCCAGTCTGCAGCCAAATTATCCTTAATTTGACAGTGGATCTACAATTATTTTGCTTAACCACATTTAATTATCATCCCACTTTCAACTCTAAAAGTTTTTGAGTAAGAGGCTGTGCTAATTTGGACTGATGTGAGGACTACACTGTGCCCAGTACCCTCCTGTGATAAAGCACTGCTAAAATGACACAGATTATTACAAATATCAAAATAATCTTTATAGGAGCATTACACAAAACTCTTGCAAGTCAGTCTCTACAGAACCATGATGGGATTTTTTCTTTTATGCACTTCCATCTTACCCCTTCTAAACTCGTTTGGTTTTTATTTTGCTCAAAAGTAAGCTGGGAGTTGAAGCCAACTTATTTAAGCTTTGTATCCACAGACAAAACAATGAGAGCCCCAGAAAACCCTCCAGTGTACACCAGAAAATCTACATTAGTGTTTCTTTAAAATGGAAGGGAAAAAGTGAAAAGGACTAAAATTCAATTTCTATTTGCAAAATTGTATTCCTCAAAAAAATTCCCAATGGCAATATAAATATGTACAATTACTAAAATAAAATTTTCCATCATTCCTTGAGAAGCCACCTCTGAAGCTGAGGGAAGGTATCTAATGGGTTGCAGAACTGTTGCACTCATAACAAGGAATTGAAGAATTGGAGAATCCTCCTTATCTGCTGCTGGAATATGTGTTGGAAGAGATGAGAAGTTCAGTACCCTGAGTAGTAAAACTCTCACAGCTATGTGAGAACAAGTGAAACAACTCCTAACTCTGCCTTCACATTTTGCATTGTATAAAGTGCTACTGTATTTCCATCTGTGCCCTGATCCAAACTTCCTCCAAATGCTTTTGTGCTGAACTCTGAGCATCTGTGTATTTTAACCAGGCTCTTTCTTCTTCTCTGAAGGTCAGAGGGACGTGGAGGACTCTGATCCTTAATCAAGGCCAAATGATCCGTGCTGAGAACGCTGACCCTGGGAGAGGAAAGAACTTTTTAAGCCAACAGAAGGATACCTTAATGCTGCTGCTTGTAAATTTGCAGTTTGTGGTGAATGCTGATGGTGTCAAATGATCCTGGTTCTGACCAATGACAACTGAAGACTACAAATTAAAACTGATACGTGTGCGTGGCTTGTAGAAGTGAGACTCTCTGGTGTATGGCATTGGTTATGTCAGAGGATATCAGATCATTATCACCCATTGGTATTTTGTTCCCTAGCTCAGTTTTTGGGTTAGTTTCTTTCTTGATCTTTTGCTTGCATGAGTAAGTTCCTGCCATTAACAAAGGGCAGATTGCATTCACTTCAGTGTTTACCAACTGACAACTCTGTGTTCAATTTTCTTCATGCCTACTACCTGGCAGGTGAAGAAAAGTCATCAAGATTTCCTAAATCTGAGGATTGTCAGCATCTCTTGTCCTGCTTGCCTGGAAAGCACTCGTGTGCCTTTTAAGCCACTTTTCTTCATTGTTTCCAGAATTTCATCTGCAATGCAAAGTGCAGTGTTTACAAATGAGTTGAAATTGGTTATAGAAGATAATTCTAAAATATCTGCCAAGCTGTAAAGCAAAGTTTATAAACTCTGTCCTCCTACTCTTTCAGGCAAAAAGTTTTATGCAAAATAATCTCCAACCAAACTCACAACTTAGAAACTGAAGTTTAGTGTTTTGCTAGAATTCTGTATGAACTGCAGGACAAAGTGAAATTTGTAATGCCTTCTCACAAAAGCTGCCTAATAAATCAAGTGTGAAGAATAATCTTGACATTACATGATAACTTGTGGCCATCAAGCATTAGATCAGAAGGAACAATTCCAAATATTTTCTCTATACCTGTAAAATGAAAGATATCACATTTCCCACTAAGCCTTTTCAGTTAACACCACCATTCTCTTCCATAAGAAAGAACTGGCCTGGCATCATTAATTAATTCAGACTTAATTAATCCATCTCTCAGGCTTGGAACTGAATTCCTGCAGAGCTGCTGGGGTCCCACACACTTTCACTTTCCAAACTAACTTGGGGAGTTCTTAGTTTTTATAAATTTGCTTGCATTTTTGGTCTAGCTGTGATTAACATTTTGATTTACACCATATTAAACCTGCTTTGGCCCATTTGAACGTCCAAGGACAGTGCTCACCTGGATTATTTTCTTTAATTGTGACCAAGTAGAATAATCCTCCTGGTGAAAGAAGGTCTGGTACTAGTGGGAAAAGTCTATCCATGACTTCTCTGCCCTGTCTGCCCCCAGCCCAGGATGCCTCTATTCCTTGGCTTTTCACCTAGGAAGAAGGAAAGCAAAGATTGTCAGAAAACAGAATGACAGAATTGTCACAAACACAGACTGTAGCAACACTCTTTTTAATGTGTATTTCAAAATTTTCCTACCTCTTCAGAAGGTGTTACCACATATGGTGGGTTAAACAGCAGCAGATCAACCTTCCCATTTAACCTTGGGGATAATCCTTTGACCTGTAGGTGAAGTTGATGATTGTGTGGGGTTTCTTTTTGGGAACATGAAGAGTGCAAATGTTTTGTAAAAGTACGGTTACATAGTTCAGTTGTTCAGCTATTTTAAATCACATTTATTGTGGCCTACCTACATTCGCTTTTATAAACATATAAAAGGGTTAAAGAAAAAAATTAGCTTTTCTTTATATCAAATTTTGTAAGAAACTAAAGGTAACAACAGACAAAAGTTCTAATCAAATCAGAAAAGGTTGAGAACCAAGAACTGCATAACTTTAGACAAAGGTCTATGATAATGTCAGGCCACTATAGAATTCCTCATCCAGCGCTTTCCAAACTAAGTCTACAGATTTATTTAATTAATACAATGAATTCTTAGAGCTTAATTTTGAATTTTATAGCTTGAGTAGTTGGTTGGGATTTTTTGGCAGCGGGTGATGTCCAGAGATCCCTTCCAACCCAAACTATTGTGTGACTCCATGATCTCCAATAAGTATTAAAAAATTATAGAAACCATGAAAGAGAAATCCTTGAAACCTCTCTCTTACCAAGTCAGTGATGACAGGCTGCAGGTGAACATTGTTCAGCAGAGCTGTCTCCTGGGTACAGTAAGCTGCCATGGGGTTGATATCTGTGCATCTAAAAGGGAAATATTACAAAGCGTAAGTTATAGGCTACTGTACCTGGAAGTTTAACCTTATGGACCACAAGCTAGTTTATAGAATCACAGAATATTCCAAGTTAAAAGGGACCCACAAGGATTAAACCCAGCAAACACAAGTGTAGGTTTATTAATTTGTGTGAGAAAAGAGAAAATGGATTTCTAGTCACAGCACTACTCATTTACTACAGAACCTGAAGTAAATAATTCAGACTGCACTGTAAGCTCAGAAATGCTCAACAGGCTCTCTTTGCCTTGATTTATGTATCTATAGAATTGAGAAAAGAATAGTTTCTAAAATGTAAAAATGATAAATATGCATGAGAGGGCTAAGCATCCTGGGCTAGGCATCCTTTATTATTGCATGCAATAGTTTAGGTGCTGTTATACTTACATGTACAGTGCACCGGGTCCAAGGATAGAAGAAGCCACAAATGTTGAAACCACACCAGATCCGGATCCTATTTCAAGGCAGATCTCGACTCTGAAAAGAGAACACTCTGGATGACTTTAGTTTGTAACAGACACAGGATTGGTCAAGACAGCATTATAGAACATGCTGGCCTCCCAAACACATTGAAGTACAGAATCACAGAACATCCTGAGCTGGAAGGGACCCCCAAGGATCATCCAATTCAACCCCTGGCCCTGCACAGACACCCCAACAACCCCGCCCTGTGCATCCCTGTCCAAAGACTCTCTGAGCTCTGTCAGGATGCTGCTGTCACCATTCCCTGGGGAGCTTTCCCCAGAGCCCCACCAGCCTCTGGGAGAAGACCCTTTTCCTGATATCCACCCTAACCCTTCCCTAACCCCTGACACAGCTTCAGGCCATTCCCTCAGCTCACACAGAGCAGGACCAGCGCTGGCTCCTCTGCTGCCTCTCATGAGAAAGCTGCAGACAGCGACGAGGTTTCCTCTTCTCCGGGCTGAGGAAGCCAAGCACCCTCAGCCTGTTCTCCATCTCCGCAGCCCCTCTGGAGCTCTCCAATGGCTTTAACATCCCCTGCGCCAGCAATCCCCTCTCAGCTCTCCCCTCCCGGCTCCCGTGCCCGCCCTGCCGCACCGAGCCTCCCGCAGGCTGTCCGCGTCCCGCTCCAGCGCATCGAGCAGCAGGAAGGTGTCCTCGGCCGGCTCGTACACGTCCCGAAAGGGCCCCCGCGGGCCCAGGTGCCCGTAGCGCGGGGTGGGCAGCGCCATCCCGGCCCGCATCCGGGGGAAGGGGCGGGACGGGCGCAGGAACGGGGCGGGACGCGGCCGCACCTCCGCAGCGTCGCTGGGTGGCGCTCGGATGTGCTCGACGCGAAGTTGCCGCGGTGCGGTGGCATCTGATGGCATCTCTCCAACACTGAACACCCGCGGTGTGCTTTATGTGCGATCCCCGCCGCCGGTGCCCCGAGGGCGGAGAAAGAAGGGCGGTGCTGCTCCTGCTCCTGATTTCGCTGTCGGCTTCACAAACGGTGTTTCCATCACCAGAACGACCACAGGGAGTCAGCACAAACCCGAAGGAAAGAGCTGCTGAGGAAGTTTCTGAGACGCACGAGGGAAACCCTGATACTGATATCCAAAATACCTCTGTTTTCTAATAATAAAAGCTCTGTTTTCTAATATTTATGTGATTTTTAGCCAGCAACACTAGACAGCATTCTTATGTACCAAGCATCTGAACTTCAGTGTCACAGAAACACAGATTGGTTTGGGTTGGGAGGGACCTTTAAGCTCATCCCATTCCATCCCTGCCATGGTCAGACACCTTCCACTGTCCCAGGTGGCTCCAAGCCCCATCCAGCCTGGTCTTGGACACTTCCAGGGATCCAGGGGCAGCCACAGCTGCTCTGGGCACCCTGTGCCACAGCCTCAGCATCCTCACCCAGAAAAATAATTCCTTCCTAATATTCACTCTAAAGCTACTCTCTATCCACCTGAAGACGTTCCTCACTGCGCTGTCACTGCAGCTCCTTGTTAATACTCTCTCTCCATCTTCCCTGCAGGCTCCCTTCAGTTACTAGAAGGCTGCAATTAGATCATCCTGAAGCCTTTTCTTTTCCAGGCTGAACAATTCCAGTTCTTTCAGGCTCTCCTCCCAGCAGAGCTGCTCCTTCCCTCTGATCATCCTGGTTCCTCCTCTGGACTCTTTCAAACAGCTCCAGGTCTTTCCCATGCTGAGACCCCAGAGCTGGAGGCAATAATTAAAGATTGAGGAAAAATTTCAGGCCCCAGATCAGATTAATGATTTTTCTCCATGAGACCCAAATTCATTCTGATCAAAAGCAGAAGAAAGAGCTGAACAGATTCTAATTCCCATTAAATGTCTCTGTTGGATTATCAATGCCCTGAACACTTAAATCCTGAGTGAGGTGACTCTCTAAGTCAGTGAAGGAAAAAAGTGATGTTAACAATGTCAGTGCAATCAGATATCCAGAGATTAATATTCGCACATCCAAAGATGAAGTTTGGACTCAAGGTTTGTTTTTGTCCTGTCATGGGAATGAAACCACCAAGCTTTACCTTAAAATAGGCTTCTTGATCCACTATCTAAAAAAAGCAATTGTAGAAACTCAGAAGTTCAGAAAATTTCAGTTTCCAGAGTGAATTTATTCATGGACCTGATCTTGTACAAATATTACCTTTTAATTTAAAATGTTACTTTCTCTTCAGGAGACAATACCAGCTTTTTTTTTGGCTCCAAAGGAAATGTAGTAGATGCTCCTTCATTTCATCTGCCTTCCCAAAGGTTTGCTGCTGTTCCAGAGAATCAAGCACTTGTAAAACATATTAAGCGTCCATAAAATTCCATTCCTTTGGCCAAATGAAGTCATGTTAAGAGACAGAATTTTGCACTGTGCCCATATTAGGAAAATTAATTCTTTGGATATATTTTTTTTAATCTCTCCAGGTGGTCAAGCTTTAGAATGCAGTAGGAGAAATGACTTCACCTCCTTCAGCTGTACTGCTTATTATTTTTGGCTGTTTCATACTTCATGAAATCTAGTTAATTATTATTGGGGGCTTTTTTTAATACTTCTAAGTCCTTGTGGGTGCATTTTATAAAACATTTATTTTTACTGCTTACATAACTACCTACCTAAAATGTTTTTCTTGGTAGACAACTGTACTGTTTTTGCCAAAACAGATTCTCTTTCAATTTTGGGAAATTGTTGGAAAGCTGATATTCCCGTTTTTCAGTGGTGCCTGTGCCATGTCATTAAACTGGGCTTTATGGAGATGAAAAATTGATCTTGACAGGAATCATAACTATTTGTTTACACTAAGCTGTATGGCTTCATCCCATCTGGAATTCAGTGCCATGCCTCTCTTACAGAATCCTTAACCCATGATTTCCTGTCAGCCCTCAAAGAATCCCTCTGTAAAATTCTCAAACATTTCACAGGTGCATCTCCTGGAAGAGACCAAGGCCTGTGCTGGACCTGGGAATTCTCCTGTTTTGCTGCATTTGAGGAAGTAGAGCCATCAGGATAACTACAAAGAGCAGAACTGCTAAGTGAAGGCTGGAAGAAACCTCATAATTTATTTCTTCAACTGAGCAAGTGTCTCCCTAAAAGTAGATAATTTTCTTGCCATCAGTACTTCTAATCAAAAGATAACACTTCAGTGCTCTAATAATTAGAAACCTTGTAGATCCTGGCATGAATACCAAGGGGATAGGTGTTGCACTCAGTCTTCTGGCAAGTATGTAAACTTAAGCAATTCTTTTCACAGTTTTTCTTGGTGGATTTGTAGGCAAAGAGAACTTTTCATCAGCCCTTGTTCTGCTTGACTAAATGGAACATGCTCTTAAAATTTTCCTGTCACAAGACATTATTTTCATTTCTCTTACCACACTTCTATACTTTCTGCATGTGGATTCAAGTCTGACTTCACCCTGAATGTGACTGGCACAAATATTACAGTTAATACCTTACAGATGCTTTGCATAATTTACATGCTTCATTATCTCTTGTGGAACTTTCGTGGTACATGCCAGGCTCATGGTTGCACTTGCTTTGCAGAAATGTTTTTTGCCCTTTTATGACCATCTGGTTTTCCTAAGTTTTTCTCAATAATTTCCAAATAACTGACCATAAAGTGAGAATTCTGTAGCATTTTATTGATTTTAATAGTCCCCTTTTTGCATGCCTGTTGCTCACATTCTGATAATTTCATTTTAAATTGTTGTCTCCTGATTTCTTGTTGCCATAACAGTGTTGCCAAGGGTTCTGATGAAAACACTAAGCACAATCAGCCCCAGGACTGAAATTTCAGGAGTCACCAGTAGTGACTGAATTTGTCACTATTTCTTTTCACTGTGTTACTAACTTATATTCAGTTTCTTGTTCACTTCATGCTCCTGCTGCCAATTCCAGCGTAGTTCATGATTTTCCACATAACATCACATCTCAAGATGTATGGGAGCCTAGGCAGATGAATTTTTGGTGTTTAAAAATGGAGACAGACACTGCAGTAATGTAGCAAAGTGTCCTGCCTCTGCCACATGGCCAAAATCATCACTCAGCTGTTATTTTTAATTGTTATCCCATTTCAGTGGTACAGAGGTCCTGCTGTTTTCCTTCTTGTCCTCTGGAACACATCTAAAGCTTTTTTGCTCTAGTATTTAATATCTTCAATAGAAATATAGAATCATAAAACTCTTTGGGTTAGAAGGGAATTTAAAGATCATCTCATTCCAAAGCCCTGCCAAGGACAGGGACATCTTCCATTAGACCAGGTAACTCCAAGCTCAGTCCAACCTGGCCTCAAACATTTCAAATTTTAATCATTCTTATTTTACATTATATATTTTGGCTTCTAAGACACAGCTTTTTCAGTAATCAGTCTTTTATCCTATTTCTTTTTGACACTATCACATGCTTGAGGTGGTTGTTTAGCCAATATCATTGAAGACTATTCCTGCTCTTGTTCATTCCATCTCTTAGCTCAGTCAAATGCTTTCATCCCTTTCTGACCTCGGCATCCTTGAATAACATGGTCATCACTTAACCAAGGCCAAAATAATATCATCTTTTTACTGCCTTCCTGGCTATTAAGTGAAGAACTGCTGCTGCTGTTGATGTGAAAACCACTTGGATGTTGCTCATTTCTAGTCTCTGGATAATTCACTTCTTTTTCCAAGTGTCACATCTCCCAATGACCCTTTCTAACCATACCTGAGTTCCCTAACCTACCAAACAACAAACCTTGGGGTTTATCCTCTAATAAAACTCCACAATCTCCACAGATACTGTCAGATGAGTCAAATCTGGGTTTACACACAGTTCTGTTATATTTCTAAGGTGAACAGCTCAAATCTCTCATCACTTCCCTGCCTCCCTCCTGACTGATGAAAATCCTTGCCCTGACCTCATTCTGCAGCACATCATGGTGCAGCTGTGGGATTTTTAGACCTGCTAAGGAATGGCCCAGGGATGACATATTAGAGACCAGGAATTCTGGTCAATTTTGGCCATGTGGCTGGTTTACAACCCCTCCTGAGAAGATCCTGGAGTGCATATTAGCCTTTAAAAACCAATTGCAAGCTCTTGAAGGAATTATTACATCACTCCAACACTGAAATGCAGCTGCCTCAGGGGCAAGGCAGGGAATTTTTAACAGTGCATAGAAGTATTTCAGCACTTGAGGAGAGAAAGTGAATAATGCCACAATCAACTGAGCAGAAAGGGAATGTTTAGTAAGTAGTCATATATCGTTATTTTAACTGGATTTAGGCCAGAAACCTGGGAAAAACCTGTTGCTAATGGCAAAAATGGAATTGGGGTTTTTAAGTCACCAATGTCCTTTGGTTTTCATTTGCATATTAAGCCACAGCACCTAAAGCAGCAGAGTGGTGGTGGAGTTTTCTTTTATAACTGGTTACCAACATTTCCTCCTTCAGTGAGCAGGAATGATGTCTGATTTCCCCAGGAACTCACAAGAAATTAAGTCCTATTCAGGCCTGTACAGAGAAGCAACACCACACTCAGTTGGTTATTTCAATTATTCAGTGCTAGAGAAAGCAATAATTAACACCAATTTTGTCTCATCATAGGCATCTGAGTGGATTTAAATGCACCCCACCAGGTCTTTACCTATTTTAATTTATATTTTTATTGGCTTCATCAGAGGTATAACCACTCTAGTGTCCATAAACAGAAGATAGAAAACCTAGAAAACACAGTTATAGTTGTCCTTATACATTTCAGGATAAATGCATTGTCATCAATCAGAAAATAAATCAGCATCATGGAAAATGAGCAAAAATGTGTTTGAGATACCGTAAACATACCTTGGGTTAGAAGCAGAGGAAATAAAATTGGAGATATTATTGTATTATCATATGTATTGATGATGAGATATATAAGCATACATATATCTATAATGGCAATTTTTAAATGATACTTTATGTAATATATGTTACCTGTTTATGTGTATACATACTTTTGATATAATATTTTTGGGTCCTA